ATAGATTTAATAGTTGTAATTGATAACTCTGGCAATTAGAATTAATAAGAACGCTTTCCATATCATTAACAAATAAAGAAAACAACATGGGCGATAAAGCCTCCCCTTGTAAAAGTCCTACATGTATATCGAACATAGCAGAAAATTTCCCGCTTAATTTTGTACAAGCTTTTACATTTTCATAAATTGACTTAATTACATTCAGCAATCTACCCCTAATTCCACTTCTCCATATTTTAAGTTTGTCATAAATAACACAACCAAAAGCTTTACTATAATCAACACATGCACAATAAAGCCTTTTATTTTGTTATAAAGTATTTTTAATTAAACTATGTAATGCAAATATTGCATCACGTGTACCAAGACCAGGCTTAAACCCAAATTGGGCACCTGTTACCACACACTCCGGTTCGCTCCATTTAGCAATCTTTTATTTAATAGACTAGTAAATAATTTAGCTACATGACTAATAAGGGTAATTCTCCTATAATTATTAACATTGTTTTTATCTCCCTTTTTATACAAAGGAATAATTACACCCCGTCCCCAAGCTTGAGGGAAATATTCTACTTTCAACATATTATTAAACAACTTAAGCAGAACTGGTGCAAAAATATCTTTATATTGAATCAAATATTCATTATCATATCTATACCTGCTGATTTATCTTTAGACAGACTCTTAATTACAACAAGTATTTCATCAAGCCTAAAATCCAGATCTAGTTCAGGAAACACACAATCGGTATTTTTACCATTCAAGCTATTATCATGATCCGAAGAGTATGGTTCCCCAGCGAGATCTTTAAAATTTTGAAAAAAATCATTTAATAATAAATCACCAGTGCCACATACCTTCTGTTTAGAAAAAAAATCGATAAAATACTTACGGATTATTACGTTTTAACACGTCCTTCGTATTTCCTTCCGTTCGTAAATAGGCGCGCTTTAACTTCGCCTCACAAACTTTATAGCGTTTTTTAGCCTCAGAGAGACTTGCCCTGTTTACCAATGATCGGTCTCTATCAAAAATGGATAAAGCAATTCTATAATTGTTATATAATCTGTTTCAGTTAATATCGAACCATGGTTTATCTGGTTCTTTCTTAGTGACATTTACATAATGACAGGTACATGAACAATTCAATACTTTTCGCTTACGTAAGCAAAACTTGTCAAACAAAGTACGTGTTCATTTTACAAAATGTTCCAAACACGCATCAATACTTTCTTTTGTGTTAAATAGCTGATCGATAGAGCTCTCAATCAAAATTCTATTGTCAAAAATATATCTTGTCTTTTGCTTCATCAGACCACACTACGTTCGACACAGTAGAATCATATTCTCGTCAGAACAACATTTACAACCTCTGTTTTCTGTCTTGTGACAGTTTAATGAAACAAATATTGGAGCATGATCAGAAAATTTGTTAAAATAACTTACTTCAAAATGTTTATCATTACACATCGACAACCTATCGGTAATCACATAATCGATCACACTGGTACCGTTTGTATTACAAAATGTTATTTTACCCTCATTGTCTCCTGTAGTCCGACCATTGACAATTTTTAAACCAGTCCATTTACATAATCGTATGAGATTACGCCCAAAAGTATTCAGTCGATCATCCTCAGATTTTCGCTTGGAAATAGGCAGTTCCTCATGATAAAAAATAAAACCGTCAATTTGACGATGTAAGCGATCATGTAAAGCATCAAAAGTTATAAAATCTGGTTCGACCCCTGTCCGACTATTCAGATCATCAATTACAAATGCATGACCTTTACTACGATAACGACCTATACCGTTCTCCAATACCTGAAATATGTCCTCATCGTAAGCACCGTAAAACACTGATCTCTCAGGGGGTATATATGTTAAAGCCATATAAACATTTCTATTATCTGGAAAAAGTTTACCGTCAATTCTAATCCACATAATACTATCCAATTCCACAGTTTCCATAGATATAAATTGACGTAGCCATGTTTTATATAAGCATACAAAACCTCCACCCTTACACTTGGATCTAATAACTGGTGGAAAATATTCGAAACTATCTTCCAACCAAGGGACCCCTATACGACCTTTTTCACATGGGTTTCCTGTTGAGAGACTGACACCTGTGATGCTGCAATAAGGGGATGCTGAGGCGGAATGACGTCAATATGTTCATTAAGTCTTTGAGCAGTTCCCGGTCCAGTTCCTCTGTCTTCGGTATCAGGAGGCGCACGTTGCCCCCACGCTCCCATCCAACTACCACTAGGGGATGCTAAAGGCTGATATCTATTAGATGTCGTGATATCAGCAGATTCACCGAATGCAGATACTGGCGTTGAAAGTTGATGCAAGCGTTTTGCAGGCCTACCGCCACGATGAGTCGTTATAGTATCACCAACCGGTTGGTTACCTTTGTTAACCGATGTGTCGACCCCAGGTCCAGTATAAAGAACGCCATCTACATACATTCTATCCCTCACAAATTTTACTTTGTGCCGCTCTCTCCCCATACGTTTCGCTACTGGATACAGAAAAGTGCAGGCAATTTTAGAAATGGGGAAAAGTGCCAAAACAAGAAATTAAAGAATGTCTACAGATGACAAAATAACTACAATCAAAAGGAATTATCATCAACGCTAACATTTCTTTTGAGTCAAATAAGGCTGAAGCTTCATATTTCAAATATTTGCATTACTGGATCTAAAATACATTCTATCCCTCACAAATTTTACTTTGTGCCGCTCTCTCCTCATACGTTTCGCTACTGGATACAGCTTTTTGCTGACCTCTTCAACCGCCGCAGGAAACTGTTCATTTATGCTGTACCGAGTTCCCTGTAACCTGTGTGTCAATGATAATACCAGTTGGTGTTGGCGTTGATATATAAACCGCGCTACAATAGGACGGGGGCTTCCTTTTTTCCTCTTACCGAATCTGTGGACGTTTCCAAATTCAATGTCCTCAATTTCAAGTTCATGATAGAGAAAAGACTTCACTAAACTCTCAGTGTCTTCATAAAGATCTATTCTTTATGAACAAGATGAACATACATAACATGCCTCAAACAACTAATACAATCACTAAAAACATATTTTTTCAAACTTACTCTGTTTTACTCTAGGTTTTTGATAGCCCCGCCTTCCAATGCCACGTGACTAAAATATCGCCGGCTTACGTCATAACGTTGGGAAATACATTCGGTAACGCGAGATCTCGTCAAGTCATGTGACATTTCTCATGGCCTAATTTCCATAAAAAACCTGGGTTGGTAAAGAAAACGTTGGAAAATGCTTTTCGTAATGGTCTTTGAAACATCTTATTGATACCACCTAGTGCATAAAGAATAGATCTTTCGATCCATGTGCGATATGTGTGTGAAAGTGACGATTTGTTTCTAAAATATCAGTTTGAAGTGCGCTCCGGGCGCGGGTCGCATATTTCCCGCATATTATAGAGGGACGGAGTTCTGACGTTAATCGACGACAGACCGATATGAAAAAAGTCGATAAAACGTCAGAATAATTCGGACTACGTAGTGCTCTGCTCTAGTTCATGGGTATGGGACGCCATTTTTGCGAATACAGAAAAGTGCAGGCAATTTTAGAAATGGGGAATAGTGCCAAAACAAGAAATTAAAGAATGATTACAGATGACAAAATAACAACAATCAAAAGGAATTATCATCAACGCTAACATTTCTTTTGAGTCAAATAAAGCTGAAGCTTTATATACAAAACAACTTATTCTTCTTATATTTCAAATATTTGCATTACTGGATCGTTTAAAAACCCAGTCAAACCCCATGGAGTATACGAAAACAATCAGAAAATGACCTGATCATCAATCTACACACAAGACAAACGGGCAATTGACAGAGTGCATAGCAGAGTAATTAACGGATGCCGACACCGCAAACAAAGTCTAACCACGACCGTTTAAATGTTTTAGGACTATATACCCACACCACGATATCGACGAGAGTACATCAACTGGTCCAGCTTATGTAGCAACTAGGGGAAAACAATTAAAGTCTGCAATAGTAAATAAAAGTCACTCGACTCCACACCAGTAACAACCGAGTTCTCTAACAGAGTCATCAATGTGTGGAACGGTTTAATGAAGTGGCAGCAGCACACTCTGTCAAAACGCTTCAATAACCAACGGAAAAGTCAAACAGAATTTTGACATCGTGGGTTTACCGTCGGAGGTCAAACACATAAAAAGCAAAACATAGCCGTGAGACATTCTAGTGATGTTCATTGGTCCATGGACATTTTTGAAATATTTATATTTTAAACTGTATATGCTTGTAGATACTATGCTACCGTTACATAGTCTATCAGGTATAATGATTGTACATGATATCAATAATAACCATAAACTGTGAGTGGGCAATTGGAATTCACAATTTGGTATACAAGGTTGATAATTAAGGGTTCATCGAACACCCAAGAAGTTTTTCGTCTTTGAAGAGAAATTAAGCGGCAATATCCCGTTCTATTTGTTTTACTAAGGTAACTTTGTCCACTGTGTCATACAAATGTACTGTCCGTCCAACGAATTTTTAGACATTATTTTTACATAGAACCTGGATTCCCTCTTATACGTGAGCGTCATTGTAACTGGGGTTACATTTTCCTTGTCCCTCCGTTAGGAGTCTAACCTGGGACTAATATATTACTAGTCAAATGAAGTTAATTCCAACAAACTAAATTGTGAACCACTTTGCTATTTGTATTTATATAATCAGTGTTATTGTTCGTAACTCATGCGAATCATTTCAGCCTAAAGCTACCCTCGGACACAGTAGCACAGTGTCATACCTTTTCGATCCATTTGTTTACGGAAAAGGTTCAAGTGAGATAGGTACTATTACACAAGGGTGTATTCGCTTTGAGTCATACACACACGTACATGATAACATGTGCTGTGTTATATAATTTTTATGTAGATTATGTGTCTAACTACACACACTGTTTACCCTGGACCTCTCCACGACTAAACAACATGGAAACACGCTGCTGTCGATCGTACCCATGGTCGAACGTATCTATTCTAGTCAGCAGTTTTGGTCTCCACTTTGTAACGATAGGGATGGTTACGTCGTTTGGTGTCATGTACAGTGAATTACGGTATCAATATCACTCTGGTGCTGCTGCAACAAGCTGGATAGCCTCCCTTAGCTCCGGTCTGCTTCTCTCCTTTGGTAAGTTTATATCAAAGTGTATGGGTTGCCAAATTTTATATGTTTGCTGTTATCAGAAATTTGGAATTATTGTCAATGTTACCACTGCTAGATACTAATACTTTTTATCATTTTCATATCTGGCAAACTTAACGTACACTGGAAATTAACAATATTGTTCTTTTGTTTTCGTTGCATCTTTCATTTGTATAATAACAGGATTTCTACATATATTTTGCTTTTTGTTTACCTGTTTTATGAGACAGGAAACTAATCTAAATCTTCCTTTTGAGACACTTGCATGGAAAATAATGGCAAACATGTTATGCAGATGTTTGATAAAATTCAATGTAAACCAATTGAGTATACATTTGATTAAGTGGTACTGATCGACCACGGCAGGATTTGTTCAATAAATGTCAAATTCTATGTTTCGGCGTTGTAGTGGAGCGACATAACGTCTACAAAATATTTAACAAACCACGCGACCTTGTAAACATAACATATTTCTCTGTTATTGACACTCCCCAGTTGAGTTACATATCATGACTTGTACAGGTTAAAACGAATTATAAAATGATAAACAGACGCATTAATCAAATGTTAATAACAGCTGTGACACAGAATTCATCTGCCCCATGCATGTACATTGTATGTAACCAAAGCAAAAAGGGTAAATTCTTGGCATAAATTTAGCGGAGAGACTCGTTGTAAATATACCATACACATTTTCGCTAAACGCCTGCATGTCTGCCATAGTGTTGTATGGATATGATTAATTACATCCTTTGTCCCTGTAATATGAAAAGACATTTTGTGCATCATGTTTGTGGAGGTAAAAGCCGTTGTGAAACATTGTTACAATTGTACCGAAATAAAACAATAAAGATGATCAGTGTTCCGCGCCATTGTTGCTGTCTGTTTCAGCTACTCGGAACTCTAATATGGTATCTTTTGCTCATTTTTCTAGAGAGACAACGAATAAGGAAAATTACGAGATAGCTTATGTGACCCTTATATGTGCCATAGAACAGTTTTTTGGTGAAAAAAATATGGTAGAAAAAAACAGTATCCTGCCGAAGCCACTTTTTTTTTGAGAAATATGGAACTTAAGGCAAACTACTCGTCAGTATGGAGCAAAAGATATTTAAAAAATGCATTGGATCTAATACACTTCCTGTCCCAAGTGATGTATCCAAGGGCGATGACCTCGGCCCCATCGTTTTTGTTTTTTTTTGTTATAAATGAGGTGAATGACAAGCAAGAAGTGGAACTCTGTTAAATTCAACTATTTTTACTTACAATTCAAAATGTCAGAACATCATCCGAGAAAGGCCAGGAAACACTACAAGAATCTATCAAAAAATTTCGAATGGACAAAATGTATTATGGATAAGGTGATATACAATCCAAAATGTCAGAACATCATCACGGAAAGACATGGAAAAGCTACAACAATCTATCAATGAATTTGTCGAACGGACAGCAATTTCTGTCCGTTTCTATAATTCATGAGAAATGTAAGCGTATTAAAACAAGGAATGGGACAAATATAACGATGTAAAGCAGATTGCAGGCGCCGAGATATTTACACTCAAAAAAGTAAGCTATGAAAAAAAAATTGGTGATCATTAACAATAAATTGTATTTTTCACCCCAAATTAAGCACTGCAGCTTTAAGAGCAAGCCATAGGAGAAGGGGTATCTTTCGGACGACATTATATACATGGTTATAACAATGTTTTCAGACCAAATAACACTCTAATCAGGACACACTATAGATATCACACCCCAACACCCAACACCCTGATAGGGGTTAAACACGGGGCTAACATATCACTAGTCAGGCGAAGTATTATCTTAGCGAACCATTTCTGCCTCAAATAAAATCGTTGAACACAGTATGACTGTGTATCATCTCTACAATTACTTAATCCTTCTACGTGTTCAGGGAAATGTAACAGTGAGATTGATAGTACATGCACAAGTGTGCTAACGTTGTAACCCATATACACATGTGCATGCTAACAAGTGTGCTAACGTTGTAACCCGTAAACACATGTGCATGCTAACAAGTGTGCTAACGTTGTAACCCGTAAACACATGTGCATGCTAACAAGTGTGCTAACGTTGTAACCCGTAAACACATGTGCATGCTAACAAGTGTGCTAACGTTGTAACCCGTAAACACATGTGCATGCTAACAAGTGTGCTAACGTTGTAACCCGTAAACACATGTGCATGCTAACAAGTGTGCTAACGTTGTAACCCGTAAACACATGTGCATGCTAACAAGTGTGCTAACGTTGTAACCCGTAAACACATGTGCATGCTAACAAGTGTGCTAACGTTGTAACCCGTAAACACATGTGCATGCTAACAAGTGTGCTAACGTTGTAACCCGTAAACACATGTGCATGCTAACAAGTGTGCTAACGTTGTAACCCGTAAACACATGTGCATGCTAACAAGTGTGCTAACGTTGTAACCCGTAAACACATGTGCATGCTAACAAGTGTGCTAACGTTGTAACCCGTAAACACATGTGCATGCTAACAAGTGTGCTAACGTTGTAACCCGTAAACACATGTGCATGCTAACAAGTGTGCTAACGTTGTAACCCGTAAACACATGTGCATGCTAACAAGTGTGCTAACGTTGTAACCCGTAAACACATGTGCATGCTAACAAGTGTGCTAACGTTGTAACCCGTAAACACATGTGCATGCTAACAAGTGTGCTAACGTTGTAACCCGTAAACACATGTGCATGCTAACAAGTGTGCTAACGTTGTAACCCGTAAACACATGTGCATGCTAACAAGTGTGCTAACGTTGTAACCCGTAAACACATGTGCATGCTAACAAGTGTGCTAACGTTGTAACCCGTAAACACATGTGCATGCTAACAAGTGTGCTAACGTTGTAACCCGTAAACACATGTGCATGCTAACAAGTGTGCTAACGTTGTAACCCGTAAACACATGTGCATGCTAACAAGTGTGCTAACGTTGTAACCCGTAAACACACGTGCATGCTAACAAGTGCTGTGTTACTGATGTACATCACTTAGTGTTTACCCTGGACCTCTCCACGACTCTACACCATGGAAACACGCTGCTGTCGATCGTACCCTTGGTCGAAAATAACCATTCTGATCAGCAGTTTTGGTCTCCATTTTGTAACTATAGGGATGGTTCAGTCATTATGTGTCATGTACAGTGAATAACGAGATCAATTCGGTACTGTTGCTGCAGAAACAATCTGGATTGCCTCCCTTAGCTCCGGACTTCTTCTCTCGTTTGGTATGTTTACAAAGGAAATTGAATATGTGACGCCAGATGGTGATATATGAGGTATAAAAAGTAAATCGGAATATGTGTTCTAACTGTTTTATTTCTTATCACAGAGGCAGACTAATTGACAAGTGTGTTATTCTGTGGCATCACCGTGCGATGGAAAAATAATAATAGAAACACTTCAATGATGCCTAATTATTACGCTAGTAAAATGATACTGACAAAAAATTGCTTTGTGTGTATTCCATTTTATACTTTCATTTGAAATGTGTAAACAATACAGAAAGGGGGTATAGCTTGCTGTGTGAGGCCGAGACAATTAAACGTTTGCTGTGCTGGACCGTGTCAGTAAATGAAGTAATAACGTTAACGGGTCCCTAATGACAGTTCAACTAAAGGATAGCACTCAGATGTTTCCTGTCAACAAATTTTCACAAGGGTCATGACACTTTTTCTTATTCATAGAATGTACAATTTGTATTTCTATATATTGTCAAAACATTTGAACAAAGCAAAGTTTAAAAAAGCCTGTGCTTGAAGGTCTGAATTGATATGGCCAGACCTTCCGTTCATATTTCTTATGTTTAGTTTTTCATTTACCGTTGATATGTACCAGATAGCCTCGAGGTCATTGACCTCTTGTTTTCTTTTCGTCGTAGCTCTTTGTGTAATGCAGTGTTACTGTCTATCCATTTAGTTCTGTATCTGGAGTTTCGAGATTGTAAATACAGTATCCAACAGATGAGCATCTTGCATAAAAAATAAATCGCATGATTTTATTGTTAACATTATGTACATGTTTTTTACATAGATAGAGGCACCTATCACATATGGTTTGCAAATGGGGGATATTTATAAGGCATGTTTTTGTATTCCTGAAACTGATGATGTCAGAAAGGTAGATAATCTAAACCGTAATTTAAAAGAAACACATTTAAATTAATACCAAACAGAAACAATTTACTAGTTGGCAGATATTTCGATAATTTTTAATAAGGAACTTTGAAATGTTTCACTTGTGGGTGTAGTACTCCCTAGCTCGACCAGATTGGGATTTGTTAAGTAAATATCGAAATAATATGTATACGTGTTTTACTGAAGCGACATCAGGTCCACAGGGTAAGAACTAAACAAGTGACCAAGCTCCACCAGATACATCTATCATGTAAACTGTAGTGAATAACAACAAGAAGAGCTGTGTCGTAGAACACATCCGTCCAATTACCACTACACAACGATTACGTATAGACTTGATTAATTGATGAAGACTCCTTAAATATAAATTACAGACCCGTTTCCGTTACACTTAAACATTTCTGTCACAGTTTTGTAAAAAAGCGAAATATTGTTTTCCCCAGATTAATTATGTAACAAGAGGGCGGAACTCAAGTGTACTACCTCGAACTCATTTATCTAGAGGCTCCGAATAAAGGATGTTAGAGGATACTCGAGCGCATGAGGGCAAAACATTTTATTTCCTCGTCATGTGATCAATACGATCCAATCAGACACGCAGTTTAATGGATGAGGTATGGTTATGTAATGTGAACAATTTTTGGGGACTGTTATATATGCTTTATCACACGTTATAAAAATTGAGACCGATATCAATTAAGTTAAACAGTGTGAATTGAATGCAATGTAGTTGAAAGAGTGATTTGAATATTACCTACATAACTATTTCTTTGTCAGGGCCTGTGGCAGGTATATTGGAGAAGCGGTTTGGTTGCCGAGTGGTTGCTATGGTTGGCTCGGCCCTGATAGGTGTGGGTATGGTAGCCAGCGCCTTTGTCCCTTCCCTCTACTGGTTGTATTTTACTTATGGCGTTATTACAGGTGAGTCATATCACAAGGAAGTACTGCTAATTGAAATACTGACCGATGTCAACTTGCTGGTTCTAATCAAATCATACTGACTTGTTACATAATTTAACGTAGTACAGACATAACAACGTTAAGTATTTGGAGACTATTTTTATATTTAGTTCAACTTTGTTTTGTATTTTGATGAAATGAATTTAGCACACATCACCCTTTTCTTAAGCTCATAAAATGAACATTATATAATTGATACGAATACTGATTAAAAAAATAGAGAAAAAGAATTCAACTTCACATAATGGTAACAGGGGTCTTAACATAAAGAATGATGGCGCAGTTAAGCCTTTTTCGACCTCAATGTGACCAACATAACAGTAAAGATATCTACTTCGAAATTTCAACATACCTTAGTTTGATTATTTATATATATTTTTCAATTAAACCTACGAAAGATTCCACAATTTTCCTGTCTCAAAGTGGTAAACATTTGAACAAGACCTTTGATAAGGTCTTCCATATGCTACCGCAAATTTGTTAAGGTTTACAGAATATTATTGCGAAAACTGATAAAACGCATGTGAAGTTAATGGTTAGAATATTCTCTTAATTAAATAACGCGTTTTCTTGGTGCAGGTATTGGCTTTGGTATGGGGCACCTGGTGGCAAACGTGACAGTGAATCTAAAGTTTGACAAACGTCGTTCGATGGCGTTAGCGATAGCGTCAAGCGGAGGCGCGTGTGGAAACATCGTGATACCTTGGCTCACCACCATGTGGCTGGAGGTTTACGGCTGGCGCCAGACATTCCTCCTGCTGGCCGGTATCGGAATACAAGGAATCGTTTTTGCCGCCATCATTTTTAACGTTCGCACAAGCAATGGTTTGTACGAAGGTTTAAGTCATTTGGTCCTAAACTAACGACCTATAAATGTTTCTTTAATCACATTATATCGATATCCTTTTTTGAGAACAGTAATCAGGACATGTTCATCAGTGTTATATACGGTAATTCTGCTTACAGGTGTCAGTGTTATATACGGTAATTCTCCCTTACAGGTGTTGAAATATCCTATTCAATAATTTTATAAAATGTCTTAATAACAGAATCACATAAACATCACCATAGTCCAGAGCATAAGACACTCGGAGCAGAAGTGACAGCAGTGCTGAAGACAAAAGCGTTCCTGGTGTTCTCTTTATCGGGGTTTTGTACTGCTATGGCCTACTTTGTGCCCTTTGTGATGATCCCAGAGTTGGCGAAGGAGAAGGGAGTATCGTCGACGGATGTAGCTCTGTTATTCACCGTAACTGGAGTATCCAGTGAGTAAAAACGTGTTCTTATTATGGATATTATTGAACACTGCATCATAGTAACTCGTACTTGATCGAGAGATATCACATCACTCACGCGTTATGTTCTTGCGTATGTTACCTATAAGATACAGGTCGCATTACAAAATTTGTTGGTACAAATACAAGGCACCTAATGGAACAGCTCCTCAGTATTTAAAGGAGCTAATAGCCCTTTATCAGACGTCACGATTATATCTGTCGAAGACCTTATCCTTTTGTTTGTTTCAAATATCGTACTGTGAACTATAGAAACTGGTGTTTTGAAAAGCTAGCTAGCCATTTACATATCGGTACGCTGGACCCCTCTGATCACGGCCTGCCTCGTGACTGTTTGTCCATAGCTATGCAAGTATATAACTAAACTAAACAGAAAATAATTAAAAGTCGTGTATTGTTCTTGATTTCATTTTTGCAGGTATTTTAGGTAGAATTTTGGTCGGTGTTATCATAGAAATTGCACAAACAAACCGAATGTGGACTTTGGCTCTCGCATTGCTAATTGGCGGTGTTTCCACGATCGGCTGTGCGTTTATATATGACAAGTGGCTTTTCATTGCGTACGGCGTCATTTTAGGAGTTTTCACAGGTAAATAAACTCATCGCACGTTTTTAATAACCGTATTTGTATCTTATGATGTGGCATGCATACATTCGTCATATCGCCAAATAGATAGACAAAGTACAATATTGAGTAGAAAATTGACAAAATGGCCATATCGCGCTGCTATTGTTTACCGAGTACTTCATCTAGCTCTGCATCGTATTTGATTTTATGATAGATACTTCCTGATTTCATATTTCTTGAGATGTTTGAATAAATCTTTTATTTTTTTAATAATTTGTGTGCATGAATATCTCCTATCAGAGTTCGATCAAACAACTGCACAACATATGTAGTTAAAGAGGAAATCTGTGAGACCATGTTCCGACTGTGAGACCATGTTCCGACTATATATTACATTGATCGGTGAGACCATGTTCCGACTGTGAGACCATGTTCCGACTGTGATACCATGTTCCGACTGTGAGACCATGTTCCGATTGTGAGACCATGTTCCGACTGTGAGAACATGTTCCGACTTTGAGACCATGTTCCGACTATGAGACCATGTTCCGACTGTGAGACCATGTTCCGACTTTGAGACCATGTTCCGACTGTGAGACCATGTTCCGACTGTGAGACAAATGTTCCGACTGTGAGACCATGTCCCGACTATATATTACATTGATCTGTGAGACCGAGTTCCCACTATATATTACATGTTCCGACTGTGAGACCATGTTCCGACTGTGAGACCATGTTCCGACTATATATTACATTGATCTGTGAGACCATGTTCCGACTGTGAGACCATGTCCCGACTATATATAACATTGATCTGTGAGACCATGTTCCCACTATTTCTTACATTGATCTGTGAGACCATGTTCCGACTGTGAGACCATGTTCCGACTGTGAGACCATGTCCCGACTATATATTACATTGATCTGTGAGACCATGTCCCGACTATATATTACATTGATCTGTGAGACCATGT